CAGTGAGGAGCTCTCAGCAGTGCAGCAGCTATCGACAGGTGAGAGATCAATTCTTCATTTTGGCTAATGAGGCCCCAGAAATGGCTTTTTCCCACCTTGAGTTAATGGGCACTTTCCTGAGCAGCGAAATCCAGTTCAGGAGGAGGACCAGGAGCCTCTGGAAGGGTGGAGAGGGGAAGGGCAGAGCTGGCACTGCTGCTGCCCAGTGCTCCAGCATTTCCCCTGCAAATGCTCAGAGATGGTCCTGGGGAAGTGCTGCAAGCACAATCACAGCTCCTGGGAGGGTTTTTTTATCTTTAGATAGCCCATAACTGTTCCATTCCAGCTCATTTGGAAAAATCTGCCTGGGAAATGCAGCAGAGCAAGGCTGCTTCCACCAGAGCCCTGTCAAGAAGCTGCGTGTGGAGGAGCTGCTTGCTGTGACATAGCTTTAGGCTCTGTGTTTTCCACTCCTCATGTGGTGAAACCATCTCAGCAGGCGCCAGGGACTGTGCTGAGCTGCTGGGAGGCTGCAGCTCCTGCCACCCTCGCCGTGGATTCCTGAATGAGGCAGGGATTGGAGCTCTGTCACACGCTGCTCCGCCAGAGCCGCAGCAGAGCTTGGTGAAGAGCTCTGTCAAAACAACCCGTCTGCCTGAGCTCTGAGCTGCCTCCTCAGGGGGGGACGCTGCCTTCTGGGGGGATTCACGCTCTGAAACCCTGCCCAGAGCCGGGCCTGAGCCTCTGAGGGGAGCTCGGGCTGGCCTGGGGGTGCCACGTCCAGCCCAAAGCTCCTGAGTGTGCCAGGGGAGCTCTGTGCTGCTGGGCTCTCACAGCTAAAGGGCAAAAACTCCATTGTGTGCATCAGCACAAGGTGGGACAAACCCTCTGCCATAATATCTCCTCTCTTCAGCCGTCTGTTGTGGTTTTGAGAAGGTTTCACCAAAGCTTTTAAACGTTTGGAAGTGAGTGGCAATTCCTGCACCAAACAGGAAGCAGCTCCTGCAGGAGATAAAGTCAGTTCTGCCTGGACATCACTGGAGTGCCACCCAGCCTTTCAGGGGAGCAAGAACTGTGATTTACCCTCCCAGGCTTCCCAGGGCACAGCTCCAACACCCACTGCCTGCCCACGGGGATCAGAGGGATCAGCCCAGATCCCAGTCAGACAGGGCTAGAACCCCCCAAAATGAGTCAAAAATCAAATTTGCCTCCAGCAGAGTGGCACATGTGGCTCAGCCCCTCGTCCCCACACCAAACCCTGCAGGTGTGACACCACAAACCAGGCTCCTCTCCAGAGCTCCCCTTCCCCAAATCAGCACCAGAAAACTGCACATTGTCACTGCCTCTCAGCCAGAGCCCGTCCTGCAGAGAGGGGCACGGGGAAGCCAGGAAAAGTGTCAGTGTTAAGTCCAGGAAAGCAACAATGCATTTTCCAGGTGGCTTTGGATCAAATTTGGGGTGGGGACAATGGGAGTGAGGGGCCTGGGGCTCTGCTCCCAGGGAACAGGGACAGGAGGAGAGGGAACGGCCTCAGGGAGAATTCCAGTGGGAGAATTCCTTCCTGGAAAGGGCAGGGTGGAGTCCCCATCCCCGGGGGATTTCAGAGCCCTGTGGCCCTTGGGGACATGGGCAGTGCTGGGGAATGGCTGGAATGGTTGATCTCAGAGGCTCTTCCAGCCTGAACCATTCCCTGATTGCACTGCCCCGTTTCCCGCTGTCCCACAGCCCCAGGGGCACAGCAGGAGCAGCCCTGCTGCTGCAGGGATCCCTCCCCAGCTCCCCAGGCAGCTGCAGCCACCCCAGAACCCTGGCTCGGAGTGTCCCACAGCAGCCTGGGCTCCCTGGGGTCACCTGCTGCCTGTCCCTGCATGCTGCCCCTCCTCACAGTGCCTGTGGCACCCTGGGACAGCATTCCAGCCCCACAGCCTGGCACCTGGAGTCTGGAATGCTTTGGGATGGGGGGACCTGAAGGTTGCTGCAGCCCTGCCAGGGCAGGGGCACCTCCCAGGGTGCTGCAGGCCCTGTCCAGCTGGCCTGGATGGAATGGTCACTCAGGGATAGAAATGGTCACTCGGGCTCTGCTGTGCTCTGGTTTAATTAATGCAGTTATTTAATTAATGCAGTTATTAAACACAGGCAGCTCTTGCTGCAGTCCCACCCAAACCCCTGTGACACCTCTGTAACCAAAGGGAGCTGGGGCTGTTTCACCACAAACCCACTGTCCTTAGCATAGAACATTTCCCATGCCCCATTTCCCAACTTTTCCCATCACTTCCTTCCCCTCCCTCACCTGGATTTCCTCCCAGCCTCACCCCCTGCACAGGAGGCTCTCCCCCACTGGAATTCTGAATGAACTCTGGGAAGAGCCTGGCTGTGTCACTCTGCTAAATGTAGGTCACAAGTCTGCGTGGTTTGTCACAGAGAGTGGCTGTGTGTCATCTGCCTCGGGCAGATGGGGCTGAGTCACTGCTGCTGCCTCCCTCCTGCTCCCTCCCTGCCTCCTTCCCTTCCCTTCTCCTTCCCAATCAATGCCATCCCTTCTCCTTCCCAATCCCTTCTCCTTCCCTTCCCTTCTCCTTCCTGTCCCTTCCTCCTTCCTAATCCCTCCTCTTTCCCATCCCTGCATCCTTCCCATCCCTTCTCCCTCCCAATCAATCCCTCCCTCCCATCCTTTCTCTTTCCCAGTCTCTTCTCCTCCCCAATCAATCCCTTCTCCTTCTTAGTCCCTTCTCCTTCCCATCCCTTCTCCTCCCCAGTCAACCCCTCCTCCTTCCCAGTCCCTGGCTCCCAATCCCTTCTCAATCCCTCCCTTCCTCCCAGTCTCTTCTCCTTCCCAATCCCTTCTCCTTCCCAATCCCTCCCTCCCAATCCCTCCTTCCTGTCCCTTCTCCTCCCCAATCAATCCCTCCTCCTTCCCATCTCTTCCTCCTCCCCAACCTCTTCTCCTCCCCAATTCCTCTTTCCCATCCCTTCTCCTTCCCAATCCCTCCCTTCCTTCCAAACCCTTCTCCTCCCCAATCCCTCCCTCCCAATCCCTTCTCCTTCCCAATCCCTCCCTTCCTTCTAATCCCTTCTCCTCCCAATCCCTTCTCCTTCCCAATCCCTTCTCCTCCCAATCCCTTCTCCTCCCAATCCCTTCTCCTGCCCATCCCTTCTCCTCCCCAATCCCTTCTCCTCCCCATCCCCTCTCCTGCCCATCCCCTCTCCTCCCCATCCCCTCTCCTGCCCACCAGTGCTGCCTGGAAGAGCACAGTGCCACAGGAGAGCAGCAGCTCCCTGCGCTGTGACAATTTCCCATTTATGTTCCGTGGGAGCTGTTCCTCCTCCCCAGCACAGCACCCTCCACACCAGCTGCCCCTTTCTGAAGTGAAACGTTTTCATTTCCTTCATTTACCCGCTCTGGTTGTCTTTGATGAGAAGGAATTATCACTTGTGGACAGGGGAAAAAAGGTAAAAGAGGTTTTTTGACCTACAGGGTGTGGGGCAAAGCTCCCCAGCACCTCCATCCCTGTTTATTGGGAGTGCACCCCTCAGGCAGCCCTGACAGAAATTCACCTTCACAGGCCATAAATCACCCAGAACTGATTCCTTTTGTGCTGGGAGCACAAACAGAGCCATAAAAAAGCCCCTGGGTTGGTGCCAGGCTCCAGACAAGACTCCCAGCCCTGGTGGAGTCTGTGCTTCCCAAATTCTGGCAGGGACCAGCAGCTGCCCAGCAGAGCACACCCTGTGAAATGCCAGGTTTGGCAGCAGCCAGGAACAGCCTGGGCTAAAACTCCATATTCTAGGCAAAAACCTCCATATTCCGGGCAAAAACCTCTATATTCCACCCAGAACTGATTCCTTTTGTGCTGGGAGCACAAACAGAGCCATAAAAAAGCCCCTGGGTTGGTGCCAGGCTCCAGACAAGACTCCCAGCCCTGGTGGAGTCTGTGCTTCCCAAATTCTGGCAGGGACCAGCAGCTGCCCAGCAGAGCACACCCTGTGAAATGCCAGGTTTGGCAGCAGCCAGGAACAGCCTGGGCTAAAACTCCATATTCTAGGCAAAAACCTCTATATTATGGGTAAAAACCTCTATATTCTGGGCAAAAACATCTATATCATGGGTAAAAACCTCTATATCATGGGTAAAAAACTCCATATTCCAGGCAAAACCCTCCATATTCTGGGCAAAATCAAGGACAGGAATGGGAAAGAGTTTCAGGTAACACCCACAAAAGAATGGATGGTTTTTGTTTCATGGCATTGATTTGGAGGTAAAATACTCCAAAAGCAGTTTGATTCCCCTTAAATCCTCATCTCTGCTTCCACAAGTTCCACGTGCAGAGGAATATTGGGAAAAAGCCCAGGAAACAGGACTGGTGTGGCCTTGGAGAGATCACCCAGCCCATCCCTCCATGACGCAGCCCAAACAAGGCTGGGGTTGGGGCAGAAATGGAAATTATTGTAAGGAACAGCCCAGACAAGGCTGGGGTTGGGGCAGAAATGGAAATTATTGTAAGGAACAGCACAAACAAGGCTGGGATTGGGGCAGAAATGGAAATTATTGTAAGGAACAGCCCAGACAAGGTTGGGAATGGGGCAAAAATGGAAATTACTGCACAGGAACAGCCCAGACCAGGCTGGGATTGGGGCAGAAATGGAAATTATTGCACAGGAACGGCCCAAACAAGGCTGGGATTGGGGCAGAAATGGAAATTATTGTAAGGAACAGCCCAGACAAGGCTGGGATTGGGGCAGAAATGGAAATTATTGTAAGGAACAGCCCAGACCAGGCTGGGATTGGGGCAGAAATGGAAATTATTGTAAGGAACGGGGCAGGGCCTGAGCTGCACAGCTGCTGCTAAAGAACCCACAGGAGTGACAAAAAGCTTCCATCCAGCTAAAAAGTGACATTTTTTCCCCTTTAATTGTGTGAGCAGTTTGTATTTGCCCAGAGAAACAGCAGAAATGCCCTTCAGCAGAGCCCTCCCCACGGCACTGCAGGAAGAAGCAGAAAAGGGAGAGTTTTTCCCTCTGACCTCTTTGTTGGTGACTCCTGGGGGCAGAGTGCCGTGTTTGTAATCCTCCAGCAGCTGCACCGCTTCCTTCAGGCGGCTCTGCAAGGGAACAGGGAGGAAAATACAGAATAAATGCTGTATTCCAGGGAAATCACATCATGGAACCCTGGGGTGGGTTCCAGACATTAAGGATTGTCCAGCTGGATGGGCAGGGACACCTCCCACTGTCCCAGGGTGCCAAAAATTTATATTATATTATATTATATTATATTATATTATATTATATTATATTATATTATATTATATTATAT